AGTAAGTTAACATAGGTTAAACTAGTGCACGTACGCATTTAGAGTGCCTTCTTTCACTGCATGAATCAGTCTTAACTTTTATGTTCAACAGATGAAATAAACTAATTCAGGTTTAAAACAACTTGAGTAAATGATGGTATAAAAATGAAACACTATGACAGAATTGAAAAGACAGATGATAGATTTTTCATTTTTGGTGAACTATTTTTTAATGTTAATAAAACAACAAAACACAGGGGAAAAAAATCACTCACTGCTCTTGACTGATGAACGTATCAGTATAATTGATGATATATAGTGTATATACTGTTTTATTTTAATATGTGTTCATTCAATTTCTTGAATGTTACTGCTAAATACTGTACCTGAAAAATAAAGCACTGTTTGTTTTATTTGTATATTATGTGTATTTGTAATGCTCTTAACTTTTATAAAGAATATCTCTTTGGATTTGAGACTTTAGTCTTTGCAACTTTACAGATCTTCTTTATGCACCAAGAGCTTGTAACACTCCAAAGAGAAAGGAAAAATTGAAATCGCATCATATGACCCCTTTAAAATACCAGCACAATAACACACTTAGTGAAATATCGTCTAATTATCGTTATCAATAAAATCCCAGAAAATATAATTTTGTCAATATTGCACACCTCTAGTTTGTTATTTAATTTATATAACAATTTATTCATAATTGTTTAAATTAATAATTAATACTTTTGACTCATCCATTTTCTTAACAATGGTTTAAAGGCTGAAATGTATATATCATTTGTAAAACTTTTTGTTTTTGTGAAAACTTGTATCTGAACTGTAAATTATGCTTTTTACGGTAATTTTACAATTTAATATGGTACTATAGGCATTGCCATACCCCACTCATATGGTATTAAATTTATTTGTGCAGGTCTTATAAAAGGTCTTAAAAAGTCTTAAATTTGAGCTTAAAAATCCTGCAGAAACCCTGAGCTCGGACCTGCTTCACTTTTCACAGTTAACACAATTAACAGAAGTAAATGCTTTAGTAAATGCTAAACCATGGTAGTGGCAATCTTGGATTAAAGGGGAACTATTGTGCAAAAATCACTTTTATATGGTATTTGAATGGGTTATCCGCAGTGTGTGTTAACAACCACCATATAATGGTAAAAATCCACCCACTCCTTTTTATGTAATCCCTATATATGAAAAACAGTGTCTCAAAACAAGCTGTCCCAGTTTTCTTCCCAATATGACGTCACATTGATACATGCCCTGCCTGTGCCTGGTAACTGATAATCATTTTATCAGTTTCATCAGATATTTTATCAGTTCTTGCCAGAGGTTGTGTTAGACTGTAATATTGTCCGTCATTTTGACAGACAGGATCGTAAAAATTCATTTATTTACGATGAGAACAGATGAACAGAGACTGTGCGTCACTTTTCATGTTCAACTCCACACCACGCAGTGACAGCGGAGGCAACTAAAAACAACAAAATATGCTAGGGCTGGATAAAAAAAACTAGATTTCTCGATTTTAATAGATTCTCATATATTTTATGAACCAATATCATTTCTTAAATCCCAATCGATGCAGTTTTCAGTTGATGAATGAACAATACATATAGTGCGCCTCCCATCCAGTAAATCGCAATGGGCTAAGCTTTGTGCTTTGTTACTTTTGATACAAAACAAAGTCTCAGATTTCAAATTCTGTCCATTTTATTAGGAAATTCAAGCAATAAATCCCCTTTTGGAGCTCTTTAATGTGGAGTAATAGATTGCTGTAGACACCTCAGATCAAGCGAAGTGGCAGCGCACGTGAACTGATCATCACTTTTGCTTTACTAGTGGGTACTTGCCTGTGTCATAGTCAAAGGCATTGCAAAAGACTCATGACAGTTTTATTTTTGTTCTGGAGGCTGATGATCCTCTGCTGGAGGCTCTGCTGCCACACTGGAGTGCACTTGCCACCAACTGGACAGGGGTGGAATTTACAGTTATAAATTACAATAGATCACCCTCAGTGTAATCTGTCATTGACGGAAAATTTTCGGTTAACACGACCACTGGTTCTTGCTTTCCTTGGAAATCAAAGCCATGACCTTTGCGTTGATAGTGCCATGCTCTGCTGTTTGAGCTATTGTTTGATCCCGGGGGTTCATTCTTCATAAGTGGAATATTCAGTTAGCTGGATTTTATTGTTTGTGATTTTTGCAAAGTCCAGGATTAAGTTCTTCGAAGCTCATCCCAGAGTTGCTGTCATGGCAACAGGTCCGTTAGCTCAAACCTGCTCAGGAGCAGACTTATTTCATGTAAACAGGATTAGATGGTATCATTTTAAGTGAAGGTGATACTGAATGCCTGTCCTAGCCACTGCTATTTTCTTACAAGTGCACCTTATTAAACCGGGAAAAATATATTTTTAATTATTTTGAAAATAATTACAATTTTGTTTAATCTATAATAATAGACACGACCATCTTTACTCATTGAGAGATTTATTAGTGAATGAATAATCAAAATTTTATTGCAGTCATACATTGTGAATAGTTTGTCTAGGTCGTGCATTATTTGAACTGCAAGCATTTATGTGGGTGCATCACAGGAGATGCAGACTCCTCATATCTGAAAATGCTTTTATGATGCACAATTAATTTAAGCACAGTCAGTTATGTCTTAGATGGATCATATGGATTAAGAAATGTTAATGGTGTCATGTATAACAAATCCGTTTAAAAATTAAATGAATTGCTAATTACAATACTCTTGACATTGAAAAATGCAAAGCCTGTGCCAATTTTGGAAATGATGAAAAATAATTTGGAATTGCTTAAACTGATTACACGTTTTTAGAACTTTTGTAATTTTGCTGGCTTGGCTGTTTACTTGATCTTAATTATATAATGACATTGTTGCTGTCTTACCACCAGCCAATTACTGCATTGCTGATCATTGTTTCGAGTTGAGAGTATTATTATTATATATTATAATATATACAGAGGTTGTGTTAGACTTTAACATTGTCCATCATTTTGACGGACAGGGTCGTAAAAATTCCGTCAATCTTTTATTACCCGTAATTTTAACTTTTTCATATTTTAACTATAATAACATATTTAATTGCTTGTATTTCATTTTTAATAATACAGGACGAGCATATAGGCTTATGCATTTATTTATTTATCAAGAGAAGAGATGAACAGAGATTGTGTGTCACTTTTCACATTCAACATCACACCCTACACAATGACAGCAGAGGCCACTAAAAACAACAAAATATGCTAGGGCTGGATAAAAAAAACTAGATTTCTCGATTTTAATAGATTCTCATATATTTTATGAACCAATATCATTTCTTAAATCCCAATCGATGCAGTTTTCAGTTGATGAATGAACAATACATATAGTGCGCCTCCCATCCAGTAAATCGCAATGGGCTAAGCTTTGTGCTTTGTTACTTTTGATACAAAACAAAGTCTCAGATTTCAAATTCTGTCCATTTTATTAGGAAATTCAAGCAATAAATCCCCTTTTGGAGCTCTTTAATGTGGAGTAATAGATTGCTGTAGACACCTCAGATCAAGCGAAGTGGCAGCGCACGTGAACTGATCATCACTTTTGCTTTACTAGTGGGTACTTGCCTGTGTCATAGTCAAAGGCATTGCAAAAGACTCATGACAGTTTTATTTTTGTTCTGGAGGCTGATGATCCTCTGCTGGAGGCTCTGCTGCCACACTGGAGTGCACTTGCCACCAACTGGACAGGGGTGGAATTTACAGTTATAAATTACAATAGATCACCCTCAGTGTAATCTGTCATTGACGGAAAATTTTCGGTTAACACGACCACTGGTTCTTGCTTTCCTTGGAAATCAAAGCCATGACCTTTGCGTTGATAGTGCCATGCTCTGCTGTTTGAGCTATTGTTTGATCCCGGGGGTTCATTCTTCATAAGTGGAATATTCAGTTAGCTGGATTTTATTGTTTGTGATTTTTGCAAAGTCCAGGATTAAGTTCTTCGAAGCTCATCCCAGAGTTGCTGTCATGGCAACAGGTCCGTTAGCTCAAACCTGCTCAGGAGCAGACTTATTTCATGTAAACAGGATTAGATGGTATCATTTTAAGTGAAGGTGATACTGAATGCCTGTCCTAGCCACTGCTATTTTCTTACAAGTGCACCTTATTAAACCGGGAAAAATATTTTTTTAATTATTTTGAAAATAATTACAATTTTGTTTAATCTATAATAATAGACACGACCATCTTTACTCATTGAGAGATTTATTAGTGAATGAATAATCAAAATTTTATTGCAGTCATACATTGTGAATAGTTTGTCTAGGTCGTGCATTATTTGAACTGCAAGCATTTATGTGAGTGCATCACAGGAGATGCAGACTCCTCATATCTGAAAATGCTTTTATGATGCACAATTAATTTAAGCACAGTCAGTTATGTCTTAGATGGATCATATGGATTAAGAAATGTTAATGGTGTCATGTATAACAAATCCGTTTAAAAATTAAATGAATTGCTAATTACAATACTCTTGACATTGAAAAATGCAAAGCCTGTGCCAATTTTGGAAATGATGAAAAATAATTTGGAATTGCTTAAACTGATTACACGTTTTTAGAACTTTTGTAATTTTGCTGGCTTGGCTGTTTACTTGATCTTAATTATATAATGACATTGTTGCTGTCTTACCACCAGCCAATTACTGCATTGCTGATCATTGTTTCGAGTATCAATATATCTGCCCTTTCCAATGAACATGTCAACACAGAGCAATTTCAGACAACTTAATACAGATATTTTTATTAAATCCACTAAGTTGTTTGAAGAACCAAATTAGCCAGAGATTCGTTATCAGAATTACAAGATCTGACATCTTGCGAGGTACGAACAACAGGCCCCTGAATGTTATTATCATTGGAATTTCATTGTCATTAGTTTACAGCGATTTTCACTTGTGCAATTAAATTAAATCAAATGACAAATAAATCAAATGTCCAACAGAATGAGAGTGCGGGGATTACTGCAACCATTGATGGGATGACTTCAGGCAATACTTCAGCTCTGGAGGTACACACAGGGTGTTCTGCTACTGGCCCGCCAGTGGTATGTATTTCATAAGTGGTATGTAAATTACAAGATTTTAATATAAATATTTTTTTTCTCATTCTTATATTATAGGAGTAGAATAAAGTTATCACAAATTATTTCTTGTGAATCTAAACCTGTATGATTTTTTTTTTTCTTTTTCCTTCTGTGGATCTCAAAGTAGTTGTTTCACAATGTTCAGCCTGTCTTTTTTCCATGTAATGAAAGTGAATGTAGTTGAGCTTTACTGACTGACTTCACTGATAAAACACCATACTTGTGTGCAGTGTTCAAAGACCAAGAATATGTCAGGGCATTTTTGATGTTGAATCTTAATAGTTTTTACACTAGATTGTTGTTCACTCAACCGTAACGATTTAGGAAATCAGTGCTGATCCTCAAGCCAAAGACTCTCCTGAAGCCTACACAGCCCAGCATGCACTGCGACAGGCTCAGATGTCGAAGGAACTGATTGAGCTCAATAAAGTTTTGGCGCTAAAAGAGGCTTTTGTCAAGATGTGTCAGAATGATAGTCATTTGGAGCCCATGCAAACAGAATATCAGGTAAGGCTGAAAAACAAATCGTAAAGATGATATTGGTGAATGCCATGTAAGTGGTGTTGAAATGTTTGTTTCACTTCTCCAGGAGAATATTCAAAGTCTGCAGGCTTCGGTTGGCTCTCTGCAGAAAGAGAAGGAAGATCTCATCCAGGCCCTGCAGTCTGCTAAGAAGGACACCAATCAAGCCAAGTAACTTGATATCTGTGCCCGTTTCTCTCCCATCTTGAACTGCCATGTTTACTGCTGCAACACAATGACATGTTAAGGATAGTTTAATGTTCCAATTGTCTTGTATTGTCTTATTTTGTCTTGGACTCTAGACTGAGTGAACAACGCAGGAAGAGACTTCAGGAGCTGGAAGGACAAATCACTGAGTTAAAGAAGAAACTTCAAGATCAATCTAAGCTGCTTAAGCTCAAAGAGTCGTCTGTGCGCAATGTAGCTAAACTCAACCAGGAGATTCAGGTTTGTTTTTACAAACCCTCATATGTTTAATCTGTTGATTAGGGATGGGAGGTTTTACCAAAATGTAAAGACAAAAAGGTCACTGTTCAAGGCAAATGTGTCTTGCAACTAACATAGCTATAAACAGTGTTTCATTGAAATTAAAACTACATATATCTTAGTGCCACTACTCATGTTAATGGTGTTTTAGCTGGATCCTTTCTGTGGTTAAAGGATAGTTAACCCAAAAATGAAAATTTGATGTTTATCTGCTTACCCCCAGGGCATCCAAGATGTAGGTGACTTTGTTTCTTCAGTAGAACACAAACGAAGATTTTTAACTCAAACCGTTGCAGTCTATCAGTCTTATAATGGCAGTCAATGGGCTCCATGGATTTGAGAGTAAAAAAAACCATACACAGACAAAACTTAATTAAACCCTGCGGCTCGTGACGATACATTGAGGTCTTAACACACGAAACGATCGGTCTGTGCAAGAAACTGAACAGTATTTATATAATTTTTTACCTCTGATCCACCGTAATGTCCAACTGTCCTGAGTGCGTTCACAACATCCGGCGCATGATGTCAAATAAATACGGTTGGGCAAAAACTTCCAGTTGTCTGATGATATATCAAAATCGTCTTCCAGTGTGATGACCTGTACTTCTAAATATCTTTAGATCATCACAGTGCCAGTGAACACGTCCGCAATCTCTCTGCACTGTGTAAATAATGAGTGACGTATACGCACAACAGATCGCTTACGCACATGCGTCTACTATCATAGATATGTATAGATGCCCTATTTGACCACTCCAGATACGTTGACGCATCCGCCATTTTGGAACGTATCGCGGCCCATAGAAACAGTCACTAATGAGGCTTCTACTTATATATATATCTATGTCTACTATTCCAGAGCACGTACACGCGTCATGCGCCGGATGTTGTGAACGCGCTCAGACATTGCGGTGGATCAGAGGTAAAAAATTATATAAATACTGTTCAGTTTCTTGCACAGACCAATCGTTTCGTGTCTTAAGACCTCAATGTATCGTCACGAGCCGCAGGGTTTAATTTGATTTTGTCTGTGTATGTTTTTTTTACTCTCGAAGCCTTGGGGCCCATTGACTGCCATTATAAGACTGATAGACTGCAAAGGTTTGAGCTAAACATTTTCATTTGTGTTCTACTGAAGAAACAGTCACCAACATCTTGGATGCCCTGGGGGTAAGCAGATAAACATAAAATTTTCATTTTTGGGTGAACTATCCCTTTAAGTGATAGCACCATTAAAAAAACATCAAATTATCAGTGAATCGGTGTTTCTTAAAACAAATGATAAGTCAAAATAAATATAAATGTAAAACAAAACAACTTGCAAATAAATGGATAATTTTTGGAAATACTGAGTTGTATTCATATGGTGCGCTGGTTGATCTGTGCAGGCTATGAAGTCCCAGCGGGTGCAGCTCATGAGACAGATGAAAGAAGACTCTGAGAAGTTTCGTTTGTGGAAGCAAAAGAAAGATAAAGAAGTCCTGCAGCTCAAAGAGAAAGTGAGTGTCAGTCTTAATCTTAATCAATCTTTTTCTCTTGTTAAATTTGCAGATGGTGTCTGTGACCATTTATATTCATATTTATATATTATTAAGATTTTTAGGAAATTAAGTGTGGTTGGGCATATTTCAGGATCGTAAACGACAGTATGAGATGCTAAAACTGGAGAGGGACTTCCAGAAACAGGCCAGTGTACTCTGCCACAAGACAGAGGAGGTGAGCTATTTTTCCAAAAGTTTTACAACATTTAAAGTAACTTTGAAGTTTTTTTGCAATTCGTTTTTGCAACAGTTTTGTTGTCGTATATCCTATCATCTTACTCAGATGATAATGATCTACTGGTCTTGTCAGGCCAGTGATTCAGTTCAGGTTTGTAGGTGTTCAGGTATGGAAATTGAATAATCAAATGTAAAATAACTTTACATAGTCTTCACTAGCTATGTTTACATGCAACCAAATAAACCATTATTAAACAGATTGATGGCTCAATCGGACTAAAAAGCCTTTGTGTAAACACCTTAATCAATCCGATTGAGCTCGATCTGAAAGAAATTTTGATTGGATTAGAAGGGGTGGTGTAGACCTTTTCTAATCCGATCGAGAGGACATGTAAACACTTGATCGGATTGCACATGCACAGTTCAGTTTCGGTTTTCAATGACATAGAAATGGCGTATTGGTGGATGATGCATGGAACAAGCTGTTGTTTTTGCAAAATGAAGTGTCATAAATGACTATCATGTTATTATAAAATTCTCCTTCCATTCATCATCTGTGAAGTGGAGCAGAACAACATCCCATCAGTCCTCACTTATCCACAGAAGGCATTCACATGCTCATCTCCTAATTAGGACCTGAAATAGATAAATGTTAAGTCTGCTCTTTAATACAAAGAAAAGAAGCAATAGCAAGAGAATACTATGCACAAACAGTGGGAAAATCTGTATTTGTGCAGTGTGCGCATGTCAAAAGATCAACAATGCGCACAAACCTGATCACTTCATTTAAACACTACATTCAGATTCATCAATCAGAAAGATTTCATTCCGATTGAAACAAAAGGTATCCATGTTAACGTAGCTACTGTATAAATATAGATTAATCCTTGTTAAAGTGATTCAGTTAAGAGCAGTGAGTGATTTTTTTTTTTTGGATTAACATTAAAAGCAATGACAACAGCTGGTAAATTAGACTGTGGTCACTTTAAAGTGTCTTGAAACCCCCCTGTTTCAGCACTGGTCTTTCACACCTTGGATCTGAAAAAGGCTCCAGAAATGTGCGTGTAAAACTGTGGAAAAGTGGAAGTGTAGAGGGTGGGAAGAGGGGCGAAAACAACCAATAAAACACAGACCTACAACACACTCATTATACAGACAAATGAATATTAAAATATCTTTAAAACAGAAAGAATAAAGGCAGTTATTTTGTTTACTCTTCTTTGAATTTTCGGTCTGTACCTATCGTTTGCTGTGTATAAAAATAATCCGTTGTGTCATCGCGTTCATGATCAGACAAGCCGCAGCTGCGGCGCATTCCCTTATTTGCACATCTTTTATTTGAAGAAGACATGATATGTGCGCGTGCTAGTTCATGTTTGGAGCATGGGAGAATATGAACTATGTTCATATAAACTTGAAACACTCTTGCTCCAGTCCGGATATGAACTATGATCCGCGCAGCGAGTGTTGTTAAACTCATCACGGCATTCAGTGCAGAAACCACTCTCCCATGCGCGCTTCACATGTTGTCATATTAAATATTGTTACGGTCATGTTTACAGAAATGAACTGACAGAGCGAAGCTCTTTCATGAGATTTGAATTCTCCGCTGTAAGATGACCATGCATAATACAGCGCAGTGATTGGATCATAAGTTCATTTTAAAGAATAATACTGAGAAAAGCTCGGAAAACTGATGACGTAGACATGTACTCTTCAGCCACGGCAGCCAATCACCACTCCAGATTAACACGTATACGTCACTTTTCATGACGTAGGCTCAACTTTGCTTTTATCATTATCATTTTTGTAGTATCCTTTTAAATTTTAAGGAGATTTCCCATAACTGCCATCAGCCCTGTTCAATGCATTGAATCAATATATTTCTATAAAGTGAAACATCAGCATCAGCGTTACCCAGGTGACATGTTGATTGAACGGTTTAATGACTCACTGATAAAGACAGTCCCTTGCAACCACCCACTGGTGTAACTGTTACTGCACAGACTAGTGCTGATATTTAAGGCTGAAATATCATTATATAGTCATTGGCATAAAATGACAATATTATTGTCTTTAAATGACAATAATATCACCCAAGTTATCTTGACAGGCCTACGTGTGGGGCACACCCCCCTTGAGTGAAACCGCTGTAAATGTGAGATTTTGTTAGCAAATCTTTATTCATCCACTAGAGGGGGCAATTTGACTAGTCTCCCTGCTAATCAAGCGACTGTTACATATCCTTGTAAAAAATGGACCAATGGCTTTTAAAATCAGTAATACCAGTAATGGTTAAATGTTTAAACAGACTGAAAAACTGGCTCAGCCATCACACTAAATTTATGATGGTTATACTTTTAATGTTTTAGGATAACTTAGGACAGCTTTCTACAAATTTTGAATTGATTTTTTTATAGCCCAGAAAGTGCACAAAGGGCTGTTCTTGGTTCATCGCAATCTCACAAAGTTCAATTATAAATCAAGCTCTCTTCACTGCACAATTAACCTCTTTTTTACATTGTGTCTACACTTTTGTTATAATAAGATTTGCAAGTTTGCAGAACTTGGCACTTGACAAAAACTCTGTTTTGAGCATTGAGTGGATTCTAGCTTAAACACATCTGATTGGCCATTGTGTTCAAGAAATCAACAGATATGTCAGTGGTTGGCTTTATTGCACAATGGTGTGAAAAATTCATTGTAAGTAGAAACGTCTCAGGTTACGTATGTAACCATGGTTCCCTTTCATGGGAACTTCGAACTGCGTCCTCTAGGGGTCGCTATGGGGAACTCCTCGTCGTGACCCGTGTCTGAAGCATACATTGAAAAAACACCAACAACACGTTGGCCGGCGACAGCCATGACGTCACTACCAGTGCGACTATAGTATAAATAGGCGCCGGGAGAACACATCATCCACTTCTTCGTCTGAAGCTTGCGTCCGAAGCATGGCAAGAAACCTAGAGGACGCAGTGTCTCGTTCCCTACTCAGGGAACCATGGTTACATACGTAACCTGAGATGTTCCCTTTCATGGGAACTTCGAACTGCGTCCTCTAGGGGTCGCTATGGGGAATGGTATACCCACGCCACCATGCTGAGGGGAGTGCATGCCAGAAACCATGGCGAGCACTATGTACGAACTCTACCATATTGCCATGGGAGTTTGAGTAAACCACTCAGAAAGAGCACGAGGCTGCTGCACGTAGCTCTTACTATACAGGATTTTAGAAAAGAACGCAGAGTACTAGCGTGCGAACTTACCACAGTGTGGATTTTAGAAAGTGTACAAAGACTTCACGTGCACACTTACCATAACATGGATTTTAAAAATACTGTTCTAAGGGGTTCTCGTGGCACTCTGAAAGAGCAGCCCATAGATGGAAATGGTGCATCCCAAAACGCTATGTATGAGAAGTCATCAACTCAATCTAAGGTTTATAATGCTGGAGTGGCTAGCAGTAAATCTGTAGCTGAGGGAGCAAACATCCAGCTCTCAATCGAGAGAGAGCTCGACCTACAGCATGTTCCAATGGTGGAACAGCTAGCAGTTATTTAGCTGAGGGAGCAACACACCCAGTTCTCAGTCGAGAAGGGGGCTCGACCTACAGCATGTTCCAAAGCTGGAACGGCTAGCAGTAATTTACCTTAGCTGAAGGAGCACAAACCCAGCTCTCAGTGAGAAGGTGGCTCAACCTACAGCGCGATTGTTAGAATCAGAAGGGTAAGTGTCCTGCAAGCTTGCCAAAAAACTCATCAGAGAGGCAGAGGAACGTGAGAGGAGAACTCAGAATTCAGAAGGAGTAGCGTGCTCATAGGTAACCCTTTGATAAAAGGGGAGCACTGCTCAGCACTACCACGAGAACAGCCCATGGA